ACAAGACACTTTAAAGTGATGATTTTTTTTTTTCGTTGCCACTTGAGGAAATGGCAAGAAGGAACCATAAACATAAAATATTTGTAAAAACCTTAAAAGGCTGTGCCTGAAGTTGGCCTTAAACATATGCGATTATCACTAGAAACACTTTAAGGGTTACAATAGACGACTTTACCACTTTGGCTTATATCACTCAAATACAAAAAGGGAGCTCACAAGGTTCAATATATTAAAAAATAAAAATAAAATAATAATATTACACAAGCTAAAAGCCACAAGACTTGCATCAGAACCAAAACAAATGTGCTAAATATCAGACCAAGTAATCTGCTGGTTCCGCTTCTGTTTAATGGACCAGAAAACAAGTCCTTGTGTATCTTGCCTACTACTACTTAGGATGCAGTTTCATGACCGTGTTCATAAACGCATACCACTTTGTACAAATGGTAAGAGAAAGCTTGAACCCTCCAAGTATCAGAATAATAAAACAGATTAAAGTATCTGAAAACAACCCTCAAAATCTTACATAAGCATGGTCATACAATTTTGAAAAGCCATTTTTATTCTTTTAAAAATTTGCAGCATTCAGTAAACTAAAACCTGGTGATCCTGCCATTAACATGCTTAATCAGGCACTTCCTGTTATGGGATGACAATCTACAAATGCCACCTCCAGGATAGCTCCCCTTTCTTTAAAATTGACTTTTCATGTTGGACATCATTATACTTGCTATACTTTGGGAACTCCAGCTAACACTTTTTAAATAGGGATGTTCAGATACCATGTACTGTACTCGGTACAAGTACAGATACTTTTCCAGGTATAAGCCTAGACTAGAGAAAAATTCAAAAAAGTTAGGAGACAGCTGTTATTTTTGGAGCATTGGCTATGGGCTCCTGGTACTTGTGCATCCCTGTTTAAAGGTATGATAGATTTTATACATACATACATACTATCGATGCAATAGAATATATATCACCGATACCATTTTTGCAAGTACAAGTACTTGTCCAAGTAGTCACAGATACATTTTTGTTTATTGTCATGCAACCGTTTTTATAAAAAAAAAAATACAGACTAATGACTTCAAAAGGCAGTGGTGGAGCGCCAGGGCCCTGTTCCCAGCTTTAACTGATGCGACCCTGGTAGTTCTCGTGAAAATGCCAAGTATTGGCACTGAACATCTCTACTTTTTAAGCAGTTACAACAAAAGTTTATTTTCCTTTTGGAATAAAGGTTTTATATAAAATGAATAAAAGCTGATCATTGTAAGCACTAGGGATGCACCAATACCGTTTTTTCGGTACTCGGTATCGATGTATATGCCGCGTGCCCCGATTATCAGGAAGTCGGGCGTCGGATCATGACCCAGCGCCCAGTTTCCTGATTGGCTGGGAAGCTGGTGTTCTATCGAAAGAACACCAGCTTCACATGCAGAGACTTCCTGGCAACAAGTGAAGCCGAGTATTACGTCATGACCTGCCTCCCTGATTGGCTAGGAAGCCGGCTTCACTTGTTCCTAGGCAGCCTGGCTTCTTGACCAATCAGGAATCTGGGCCATCAGGTGTCGTCTGGCTTTCTGATTGGTCAGGAAGCCAGGCTGCCTAGCAACAAGTGAAGCCGACTTCCAAGCCAATCAGGAAGCAGGGTGGCAAGTCATGACCCGCCTCCCGGGTTCCTAATTGGCTAGGAAGCAAGCTTCACTTGTTGCTAGGCAGCCTGGCTTCCTGACCAATCAGGAAGTCGGCTCCATGCTCCCTCGGCACTGCTAGTCAGAGAGATCTCCCTCTCACCGAAAGTTCCGGTATCGGAGGTAAGTATCGGAGCATTCGGGAAAGTACGAGTAGTCTCCCAAATACTCGGTATTAGCACCGATACTCGTATCAGTGCATCCCTAGTAAGTACCCCTATCAGTGTTAAATGGTTTGTCCTGGCCCTCTAACTTCCACTTTTGCTAAACAAGTTGGTCTGTTCTTGTTGCTCAAAAAGGTAAGCGCAACAAAACGCTCAAAACAAGAAATCCCATTCATTTGTATGGCCCCTGTTGATACCTGAGCGTTTTGTCACACAAGTTTCCCACTGAAGTCTATGGGATGAAAAAGTGATGTTTGTGACGTACGCACGGCCCAAATCCGCTGTATGTAAATCACACGTGCGTGGTGACATAAGGACTTGACGATACCACTCTCACTCACCCTGCACAGAGATTTCCCAGCTCGTGGGACAGCAGACAGAGTGATTGCCACCAGGGTTAGTTAACTCCGCAGTTAACCCTTTACCCACAAACGTTCGCTGCCACCATGTGTTTTGTAATGGACACACAAACCGTGCCCAACAAATGCTGTGACAATTTAAAACACTTAAATCAGCGGTCTCAAACCTCCGGCCCTCCAGCTGTAGTGGAACTACAAATCCCATGAGGCATTGCAAGATTCTCACAGACATGACTCCCGAAGAGAGATGGATTTGTAGTTTTCACCACAGCTGGAGGGCCGGAGGTTTGAGACCCCTAACTTAAACAATGCCTATGATAGCGCTGTACTCTGACAGGAATATGACAGGATTCACTATACAGTAGCGCTCTTCACAGGGGGCAAGGATACTTTAGGCCTTGTTCACACCAAGCGCGGAGCAGATCCAGACCAGAGCAGGTGCAGACCGGATCAAAACTGCGTCCAATGTATTCCTATGGTATTTTGACCTCCAGTTCACATCGCAGCGTGCAGATCCAGACCAGATCCAGAGCAGGTGAAAAAACTGCGGCAAGCCCTATTTTACCTGCTCTGGAACGCATCAAAAACGCAAAAACGCATGCAAGTGTCTGAAAGCCCATGTTAAACTTAAAAAAAAAAAATCCGGCCCGGAACGCATCAAAACCCACTGCATTGCATGTGCAGAAACCTGACCGGATCTGCTCTGCATTTGGTGTGAACAAGGCCTTAAGTTCATATTTAGAGCGTAGACATAAGCTTAACGATTTTAAGATCATCCTTTAAAAAATGGTGCAGAAAGTATATAGAAAAAAACCGTTATTAATGAAGAGACAAAACATATATACAACAGTAGAATAAAAAGGGAATAAAAAGGTGAATACTTAACAGTCCCGTTTTTAGGAGTTCTGATAGAGTTCAATAAGCAAAAGAGAGGTCTGCAGGGCTCTTCTTCAAGCAAGCTTTCAGCAGATGATGTCCAAAGATTAACATCTTCTGCTATGTAAAGACTTCTTGATGTTGCTGGAGTTCCTTTCTTGATGTTTCGAAACAAGAGACTTTCTAGCTGCTTTCAGCATCTTTTGTTAGCCCCTTAGGGGGTGTCACGGAGCCGGCCCCTAGGGCAGGGCTGGAAAGCAGGAGGGGGGATGAACCTTTATTTTTCACTATAACCGCCCAATTGCAAATTATGAAATGTAGCTGATATTGTACTCAGGTTTATGACTTTCAGGTGAATGCTGAGTCACCCGGGTCATTACCTCTACCAGATCTGCTTGTGTTTATATACTTATATCCACTGGTGACAGATGAGTGCCTGGTGGCATGCCTTTAATTAGGGACCGCTATAAAAGGTTTAGAGGTGATTTGGGACTCCTACTAGTGCAGGGCAATAAAGATTACAGGCCAGATAAGCAGATCTCTGTTCTGTGAATTGGCTGGCAAATGACTAAATGAAGGCCTGCATTTGCTCTGAACTAGGGGACAAGAGAATGCTATATTTAATATTAATAGACTCAAACCCAATTATCGTCACAATGTTATCTGCCAAATAACATTGGCTGGTGACAAAATGCTCAGGGGTGAACAGGGGCCATATAAATTAATGGGATTCCTTGTCTTGAGCTTTCCGTCGAGCTTAGCTTTCAGTGACAAAACATCTAGGTGTGAATGGGGACTTAAATGAATGTGAAAAATAAACTAACTGGCCAAATCCCCAGATGTTAAGAAAAAAAACAAATGCAGCCACCACATCTAAGAATCGGTAAGTTGTAATAAATGAAATGTTTGCTTTTGAGTGTAGATATGAATTGAGTCAATTGAGTCAACAAAAATAAATATGGGGCTTCCATTGCTATGCTCTCTGAAAATGCTATTTGCCAGGTTGTTGAGCTGACCCACTGCATTTAACACTTACCTCAACAGGTAAAACTTGTAAGAAATGCTTGGGAAGAGTCAGAGTTCCTTATCTGTACATTTGTTATAAGGAATGGGATGGTAATAAAGAATGACTAAAGGTCCTTTTTTAAAAAAAAAAGGATGCATGATAGCCAACTGTCAATGGCTGAAATAGATCAATAGGAATGCGATGAAAATAGGGAGTGTAGGCCTGGGACCAAGGATGGAAAAGAAGATGGCTACTGTAGGAAGTCATGAGCTGATGCACTAAGGAGATTGAAATTCATTCCACCTCACCCCCCATATAAAGAGCCTTCTGAGCCTACATATAAAGAGTTTTCTGTGACAGTAAACAAGAGGGGAAAAAAAATCTAAAAACAGAATAATAAAAAACAATCATACTGAGCAAGATGTAATGGTGGTCAATTCCACCAAGAATGACAGAAGACAAGACATTTGCCCATTATGAATTAATGACTTGTTCACATCTTGCTCATTAGCTGAATGATGAATATAGAAAATTCAATGTAAAAACTTAGGACTTTTACCCTTTTATGTAAAGTAACAAAAAGGCCACAACAAACCTCAAAAAGAATCTTGTCCCTTTTCCTCTACATGAAGAAATGTGTACTTTACCTCTACAAGCAAAAGGCAAGGGCCCAACGTTTTTAGGTGACACTTGACTAGGTCCCATTGTGTGGTTTGTGTTTTAGGCCATGAATGGGAAGAATTAAAAGGAGAACTATGGGGTAGCGTCCTCCCGTCACCCAAAGCTCAGTATATCGCGAGCTACATTACTGTCTGGATCCACCCAGCTGCGTGAGTGACGGCTGGCTCTGCCTATGTAGAGGCAGAGCCAGCTGTACCCGCCCCCTCCCCCTTCCGTTCCGTCAGTCAACGCATGAGGATCGGACAGGGGAGAGGGGGAATTCCTGCGGTGAGTGAAAGTCACAGCTCTCTGCAGGGACAGGATCGAGAAGTGAGCGAGCGACGGTATGTGTTCGCTCACTTCCCGATCTATTGAGCCGATGTGTGACAATTTCATTGTAACAGGTCGGCTAGAGCTATGAGGCTGAGTGATTTTCACTTGCCTCATAGTTCTCCTTTAAATGTCTAAGTTCAACACACAATCTTGTTTTGTAAACATAAAGAAGCAAAACAAAGAGATAGAACCAGATGAAACACCGACACAAAGACTCAACCAGTTTAGCTTTTAGATCAAGTTTCAAAACATACCAACCATAAACAGGACTTGTGGAAATGTGGCTGCCGGGACGTGTGCTTCATACAGATATAATGAACCTCAGAACATTTGTGTTACAAAAGAACTACAAAACGATGGCTTCTTAGCTATAAAACATTATAAAAGTTCTTATGTAAATGCTACTGGGGCAGTTTAAAAAAACATTTGCATAGTTTATTCATCCATTTAAATTCTGTTTTGTATGCATTAACCAGCTGATAAATTGAATGTTCTTCATGTCATTTCTCTTCTAGTAAAATGTCGGGTTCTTCATAAAGACAAGTGAATAGTAAAAAATAAGCATTACGGCCACTAGATAGCACTGAGGATCATATGAAATAAATACATGTTAGTAATATTACATTTCTATGCTCATTCTTGCCAGCAAGCATATTCTTTTGTAGCACATAACTAACGTATTTATTTTCTATGACCCTTTAGATCCACCTAGCAGCCATGATGTTGCATTTTCCCCATTCAGTCTGTTCTGTATTAATGAACCTTTTGAGTAATATTCAACAAGATGAGAAAGTACAGTAAGAACATTTGTTTTTGCCCCATTCCCACAACAGCTGGTTAAAGGGTTATTAAATCCTCCGGGTTTTTTTTTGCATATATCTACTGTTAGCTAGCAGTAAATATATGCAAAAACTTTCAAAAACGCTTTAAACGTATCTGTGCCTTCGCCGCGCGCTCCCGTCCGAAAATCTGAAAAATCCTGTGCGGCCGCAAATGATCTTGGGCAGGCGCATGCGCGTTCAGATTTTCGCCCGGGAGACGAGAAGAGACACAAGGTAAGTCTATGGTTCGCATGCACCCACATGCAGACACCGTGGGACAGGAAGTGCCAGCAAGCACAGAGGAGTCAGCGCTGGATCGGAGACCCGCAGCAGCGCTGGAGGGACAGATAAAAAGGTCAGAAAAGAAGATCGGATTAAGAGATATCAGTTACAGTGAGTGCTAACATTAGCATTGGGTAGAGAGATAAAAAAAATTTACTTATATAGACCCTTTAGTGTGGAAATACTTCCCGGAAATTGGCCCAGCTATAGTTGTGTGCTTATGTAAATATATATTTTAGAGCTTGCCGTTAAATACATAATCCAGCAGCATGCCAGCAATATTTACTGTGACAGATACAATGGTACTTATTTTTTTTCTTTGTTACTCTTTAAAATGCCACATAGCTAAGTCAGCACATGTCTCAGCCATATAAACCTGAAAACTTGGATATCATGAGACACTGAAAAAAGTTTATGTTCTGTATACAGTGCGCAAACCATTTTAGAAATGTTTGGAAAAGTGCCATCTTTTCTATTGTCACTCACTAAAATAATGGATATGTTTATAAAGCCAACTTCAGCCCACATTATTTATTAAATACAGTATAATAAATCAGATGCATATCACTGCAAGTGATCAGTACCCCCAATACACTATAATAAATCAGAAACACGTCACTGGAAGTGATCAATACACCCGATACACTATAATAAAATTAGAAACATCATAGCAAGTGATCAGTACACTGGATACACTAATAAAAAAAAATCATAAAAACACATCACTGGAAGTGATCAGTACCCAATACACTATAATAAATCAGAAACACGTCACTGGAAGTGATCAGTACACGCAATACACTATAATAAAATCAGAAACATCACTGCAAGTGATCAGTACTCTTCATACCCGATAATAAAAATCAGAAATGCACCCAATACACTGTAAAAAATAAAAAAAATACAAATACACTATAATAAATCAAAATTATACACTAGAATAAGTGAAAAGTAAATCACCTAAAAATGAATAGTACACCTGATGTCCTGATTTATTATAGTGTGTCCAGTGTACTCATCACTTCCAGTCATATACTTCTGATTATAGTGTATTACTGGAATGGCTCAGTACAGAGTCTAATAAATGAGGAATACATGACTGGAAAGGCTCAGTACACCTGAACACAATATAATACCTGACTGGAAAGGCTCAGTACACTTGAATACAAACACATGGCTCCAGAGAGAGCCGTACACCAGACACACTATAACAACACGGAGAAGTCAATGAGAGTGTATGTCTGTCTCGCACACTGCAATCATCACCACTAACAATAGCAATGCAAGTACAGTGGCACAGAACATCGGTGCTCTTACCAAACGTGTCATGGGTATATCTCCTGCGCCGTGAGTATTCCACATCGGTAGACATGACACATATCACCTGGCCGCCCGCACACAGCCCGCACACACACGCCGCCAGCCACGGCTCGGGGTAATTAATTGGTTCCAGTGCGCATGCGCGGTGATTTGTAGCTGCGAAGGGCCGATGGCTGGTGGGATCTGCAGGTAAGGCTGTGCGGTCCTTTATCATAGAGGAGCAGGAGGTTCAGGATTGAGTGTACACTTATCGGTCATGGTAGAATCCATGACATCTGGTTTATCTTCATCATCCAGGACACAGTGGTCTCTCCTGTCTCCTCTCATGGCCATGTGCCAGGATTGACTCGTGTCTAGGGGTAGACATGAGATGGTTTTTGCCAGTCTGGATGTCAGAAATAGGCATGGTTTATTTGCTTTTGTATTCTTTATTTCCAGAGTTTGTAGTGCAACTGAAGCCACAACTTTTCTCTAGTTCTGGATGGAGTGGAGAGGGATTAGACTATCTGTCAGGTTTTTTTTTAATCAAGAAGATTTTTATTTTCATTTTGTCGTACACTGCTGTTTGTTATTGAAATCTTCCAAAGGGGACACTATTTCTGATGACCCTGCTGACCACCAGGGATTTCCCTCAATGGGACAAAAAGGACAAGAAAGTGGTCGGGGTTATAACTCTATTCTAAACTGAAAAAAAAAAACGTTTTAGATTTAGCTGAACAAACAAAATCCATTGTTATTTTGGAAATTAAATAAGTGCTATTTTATAAAGTCAGTTCACTGCCATTGATCACTATATTGTCATCCTCCATTGCAGGGACAGATAGTGACAGCTATAAAGTCAGTTCACTGCCATTGATCACTATATTGTCATCCTCCATTGCAGGGACAGATAGTGACAGCTCCTATGTACACCTAGAGATGTGACTTGATCATGACATACATGGAGCCATTTACTGTCAGTAAAGAAACAGGGAATATAATGCTGAGTACACACAGATCAAACTTCACTTCCTCCACAAATGCTGATTATTAGATCAACTTTTATAGAAGGGACGTGTAGAAAAATTGTTGGGTGAACAGTGCTGACAATCAGCTGCAAGAACTGTTCCGGTATTCTGAAAGCTGCCAGAATACAAAGGACACAATGGGAGAGTGGTCCATACACACTGTTAGCATGGATAGTGGGAGAGTGGGAGAGTGGTCCATACACACTGTTAGCATGGATAGTGGGAGAGTGGTCCATACACACTGTTAGCATGGATAGTGGGAGAGTGGTCCATACACACTGTTAGCATGGATAGTGGGAGAGTCGTCCATACACACTGTTAGCATGGATAGTGGGAGAGTCGTCCATCTACCCTGTTAGCATGGATAGTGGGAGAGTGGTCCATACGCACTGTCAGCATGGATAGTGGGAGAGTCGTCCATCTACCCTGTTAGCATGGATAGTGGGAGAGTGGTCCATCTGCACTGTTAGCATGGGTAGTGGGAGAGTGGTCCATCTACACTGTTAGCATGGATAGTGGGAGAGGGGTCCATACACACTGTTAGCATGGATAGGGGGAGAGGGGTCCATACACACTGTTAGCATGGATAGGGGGAGAGGGGTCCATACACACTGTTAGCATGGATAGGGGGAGAGGGGTCCATACACACTGTTAGCATGGATAGGGGGAGAGGGGTCCATACACACTGTTAGCATGGATAGGGGGAGAGGGGTCCATACACACTGTTAGCATGGATAGGGGGAGAGGGGTCCATACACACTGTTAGCATGGATAGGGGGAGAGGGGTCCATACACACTGTTAGCATGGATAGGGGGAGAGGGGTCCATACACACTGTTAGCATGGATAGGGGGAGAGGGGTCCATACACACTGTTAGCATGGATAGGGGGAGAGGGGTCCATACACACTGTTAGCATGGATAGGGGGAGAGGGGTCCATACACACTGTTAGCATGGATAGGGGGAGAGGGGTCCATACACACTGTTAGCATGGATAGGGGGAGAGGGGTCCATACACACTGTTAGCATGGATAGGGGGAGAGGGGTCCATACACACTGTTAGCATGGATAGGGGGAGAGGGGTCCATACACACTGTTAGCATGGATAGGGGGAGAGGGGTCCATACACACTGTTAGCATGGATAGGGGGAGAGGGGTCCATACACACTGTTAGCATGGATAGGGGGAGAGGGGTCCATACACACTGTTAGCATGGATAGGGGGAGAGGGGTCCATACACACTGTTAGCATGGATAGGGGGAGAGGGGTCCATACACACTGTTAGCATGGATAGGGGGAGAGGGGTCCATACACACTGTTAGCATGGATAGGGGGAGAGGGGTCCATACACACTGTTAGCATGGATAGGGGGAGAGGGGTCCATACACACTGTTAGCATGGATAGGGGGAGAGGGGTCCATACACACTGTTAGCATGGATAGGGGGAGAGGGGTCCATACACACTGTTAGCATGGATAGGGGGAGAGGGGTCCATACACACTGTTAGCATGGATAGGGGGAGAGGGGTCCATACACACTGTTAGCATGGATAGGGGGAGAGGGGTCCATACACACTGTTAGCATGGATAGGGGGAGAGGGGTCCATACACACTGTTAGCATGGATAGGGGGAGAGGGGTCCATACACACTGTTAGCATGGATAGGGGGAGAGGGGTCCATACACACTGTTAGCATGGATAGGGGGAGAGGGGTCCATACACACTGTTAGCATGGATAGGGGGAGAGGGGTCCATACACACTGTTAGCATGGATAGGGGGAGAGGGGTCCATACACACTGTTAGCATGGATAGGGGGAGAGGGGTCCATACACACTGTTAGCATGGATAGGGGGAGAGGGGTCCATACACACTGTTAGCATGGATAGGGGGAGAGGGGTCCATACACACTGTTAGCATGGATAGGGGGAGAGGGGTCCATACACACTGTTAGCATGGATAGGGGGAGAGGGGTCCATACACACTGTTAGCATGGATAGGGGGAGAGGGGTCCATACACACTGTTAGCATGGATAGGGGGAGAGGGGTCCATACACACTGTTAGCATGGATAGGGGGAGAGGGGTCCATACACACTGTTAGCATGGATAGGGGGAGAGGGGTCCATACACACTGTTAGCATGGATAGGGGGAGAGGGGTCCATACACACTGTTAGCATGGATAGGGGGAGAGGGGTCCATACACACTGTTAGCATGGATAGGGGGAGAGGGGTCCATACACACTGTTAGCATGGATAGGGGGAGAGGGGTCCATACACACTGTTAGCATGGATAGGGGGAGAGGGGTCCATACACACTGTTAGCATGGATAGGGGGAGAGGGGTCCATACACACTGTTAGCATGGATAGGGGGAGAGGGGTCCATACACACTGTTAGCATGGATAGGGGGAGAGGGGTCCATACACACTGTTAGCATGGATAGGGGGAGAGGGGTCCATACACACTGTTAGCATGGATAGGGGGAGAGGGGTCCATACACACTGTTAGCATGGATAGGGGGAGAGGGGTCCATACACACTGTTAGCATGGATAGGGGGAGAGGGGTCCATACACACTGTTAGCATGGATAGGGGGAGAGGGGTCCATACACACTGTTAGCATGGATAGGGGGAGAGGGGTCCATACACACTGTTAGCATGGATAGGGGGAGAGGGGTCCATACACACTGTTAGCATGGATAGGGGGAGAGGGGTCCATACACACTGTTAGCATGGATAGGGGGAGAGGGGTCCATACACACTGTTAGCATGGATAGGGGGAGAGGGGTCCATACACACTGTTAGCATGGATAGGGGGAGAGGGGTCCATACACACTGTTAGCATGGATAGGGGGAGAGGGGTCCATACACACTGTTAGCATGGATAGGGGGAGAGGGGTCCATACACACTGTTAGCATGGATAGGGGGAGAGGGGTCCATACACACTGTTAGCATGGATAGGGGGAGAGGGGTCCATACACACTGTTAGCATGGATAGGGGGAGAGGGGTCCATACACACTGTTAGCATGGATAGGGGGAGAGGGGTCCATACACACTGTTAGCATGGATAGGGGGAGAGGGGTCCATACACACTGTTAGCATGGATAGGGGGAGAGGGGTCCATACACACTGTTAGCATGGATAGGGGGAGAGGGGTCCATACACACTGTTAGCATGGATAGGGGGAGAGGGGTCCATACACACTGTTAGCATGGATAGGGGGAGAGGGGTCCATACACACTGTTAGCATGGATAGGGGGAGAGGGGTCCATACACACTGTTAGCATGGATAGGGGGAGAGGGGTCCATACACACTGTTAGCATGGATAGGGGGAGAGGGGTCCATACACACTGTTAGCATGGATAGGGGGAGAGGGGTCCATACACACTGTTAGCATGGATAGGGGGAGAGGGGTCCATACACACTGTTAGCATGGATAGGGGGAGAGGGGTCCATACACACTGTTAGCATGGATAGGGGGAGAGGGGTCCATACACACTGTTAGCATGGATAGGGGGAGAGGGGTCCATACACACTGTTAGCATGGATAGGGGGAGAGGGGTCCATACACACTGTTAGCATGGATAGGGGGAGAGGGGTCCATACACACTGTTAGCATGGATAGGGGGAGAGGGGTCCATACACACTGTTAGCATGGATAGGGGGAGAGGGGTCCATACACACTGTTAGCATGGATAGGGGGAGAGGGGTCCATACACACTGTTAGCATGGATAGGGGGAGAGGGGTCCATACACACTGTTAGCATGGATAGGGGGAGAGGGGTCCATACACACTGTTAGCATGGATAGGGGGAGAGGGGTCCATACACACTGTTAGCATGGATAGGGGGAGAGGGGTCCATACACACTGTTAGCATGGATAGGGGGAGAGGGGTCCATACACACTGTTAGCATGGATAGGGGGAGAGGGGTCCATACACACTGTTAGCATGGATAGGGGGAGAGGGGTCCATACACACTGTTAGCATGGATAGTGGGAGAGTCGTCCATATGCACTGTTAGCATGGATAGTGGGAGAGTGGTCCATACACTTTCAGCATGGATAGTGGGAGA